CTTCCAAGCCGAACCTTGGACTCCAAACGTCCCTGAACCCTTTCATGGGTATAGTTACCGATGATGTTAAAGTTGAAATAAATACGTTGCCGTTTGATATTCCTCAAGAGTCTCGTCCGTTTGTTGGAGAAAAGACAGCCCACACATATGAACCCTCACATTCACCTTGTCATGGAAAACAAGGTGAGAGGGGCTAGCTAGCCCTTAGGACAGGTCCCACCCACACCTAAGGCTGGCCAAAGGCAGCTTGAGAGAAGGAGGTGTCCCATATTTCTCAGATATACAGCAAAAAAATGGCCTTGGGGGCAGAGGAGTTTGGGGAGAAGGGGGGGAGAGATCAAAGACAGCAGGGGCGGAGAGAAACCCTTGCTTATGTTTTATTTTTTTCTCAAGGGATCCCTTCTGCCTTGGCCCACCTTTAGATCCCTTTTAAAGGGTCTGTGCCTGCTCTGTCCTGACCTATGGCAACCCGGATCGGGTTTTCACAGCACGCGAGCCGTTCGAGGCGTCGTTGACGACTAACGCCACCCCATGGGCTTCCCTGGCTAAGCGGGGATTTGAATCCAGCGCACCGGAATCCTAGGCTGACATGCGGTTCACTGCCCCACACGGGCTTCTCCGCGGTGTTCTAGGGTTATAGGCCCTCGTATTCCTCTCTCCCACTTAAGGCAGAAAATGCAGCTTATTGTGGGGAGAAGAAACACTTTGGCAATAAAACAGAACCTCCATGTCCAGGAGCACTGTACCTCAGAGGCGAGGTCGTGATGGAGAGAGGCAAACGTCAGGGCAGGAGCCTCTCAGCAGAGGACTTTCGGGCATCCCGCAGCAGCGGAAGGGGCCCCACGAAGCAGAGGGACTAATCTGAGCAGAGAAAGCCTCGCTTCGGAGCTGGGTGCGAAAAGCCTTCAAGGACGGGTCTCCTGTCTAAGCAGGACCGGCGTATCCCATCCAGGGAAGACGGGCGTCCATCCAAGGGTTGAGCAGCTTCCAGCTGCTTCTGGCCCCCTTCCGGGCCCTCCCAGGAAAGACGGGGAGAGAGCTGCCCGCTGGTCCTACGCCAGGAAAAGACCGGCACAAAGGGCAGAAATGGCCCGGCCGGATCCCTTACGGACTCCCCACGCAGCCTTCGCCAGAGGGCCATTTTCAGCAGAGAACCTTGTGAGAGTTCCCTCGTGGCTAAAATAAAGACATAAATGGAATTGAATAAACAAACAAACAAACTATCCCGAACAAACACTAGCCCCCTCCAGCAGGAATTTACTCCCTCCGGGCCTCACCCTCTGATATAAATGATACTGAACTCTGTCCTCTTGGCCGGCAGGAGCAAAACTGGTATTTTTTCATTCCCGGAAGGACCTTCAGACATGTATTTATCTCTCGTCTCCAGGGGAATCGACAATTTAGACTGTCGGGTGGTCTCCAAGTCTGGAATGCCCCCATATGCCTTTAGCCACAAAGAGGGAGGGCTAGAGCACGTGCAGAGTGCAGAGGCCATGTGGTAGAGGGGCTTGAGGGAGACCTGGTTTGCCCCCTCCTTCTGTCCTTCTGGCAAACCTTCAGAAATTAAGCGCCTCTATAATATATATTATAATATTTTACCCTGAAGTGCTGCCTCTCTTTTGAAATGGACACCAGTATTCCTGTTTTTAATCAAACATTGCAAAAATGTTTCAGTTTTAATTTTAACAATCTTATACAGTGTTTCCACTAAAATAAAACAGGGTCCTACATTAATGTTTGCTCCAAAATACGCATTAGGGCTTATTTTTTTTAGGGGATGTTTTATTTTTGTCATCTATAACCATCTACATTTATTCAAATACAGTAATGTCATCTTCTGTCATTGCTGCACAAGGGTGGAGGGAGGGGTTTCGCTTAACAGGGGCTTATTTTTGAGGTAGGGCTTATATGACAAGAATCCTGAAAAATCATACTAGGGCTTATCTTCAGGTTAGGAAACAGAGTAATGAATGTAATCCTGACATATGATATGAAAATAAGTAGAGGCCAAACGAAAAATAATGATTTTAAGGAAATATGGAATGTATTTTTAGAACATGTATTTTGGAGAGGGAGGGGGTTTACACCGAGGGAAGAAACAATGAAATTTTGGAGTGAAAATGCATGGAATGAAGTGTAATGCTAGTCCTGAAGGTGATGGGTGCACATGGGTAATTGTACTGTTTTGTTTTGTATTCTATAGTTTTTTTCTGTAGTAGTAGGTGTATTTTGTATTCTTTTAATTAAATTAAAAAAAAAAAGAATGTAATCCTGTTTTGGTGTTTGTAATTCCTCAGTATTGTCATTTTCTAATGTTTCCCACTGTTTCGTGAGCCCTGAGCCCTAATGCTTGGAGGAAGGTGGAATGTAATTAAAATCAAATCTTCCCCACCCTCACTCCACGAATGTAACCGGATTCCGTTGGGCCAGACACAAGTCTGTCAGGGTGGCCTGCTTCGCAGGGTGGTTGTGAGCCCAGGCCGTTTCAAGCTCCTAGCAGGACATGCGAATAAACAAGCGACCGAATAAGGATTTCCTCTGGCTTGTTTAATCCCGTAAGTCGAGGGTCCACCGTATATCGAAGTTCCTTCACAGTTCACCAGAACACTGGAGTTGTTATTTGCCGGATTGCCTTCCCGAAGGGTGGGCCGGTGGCTTCTACTCAGGAGGAGAACCCAAATTCACTGCCTCTGATGCCTCTGTGACATCTTTGGTGTCTCCCCCCCTTCCCCCTCAGAAGAGGCTGAACCACCTGCTGCTTTGTCTGGATTTTCGGGCAGGAAAGACCTAGCCAAAGATTTATTCATGGGAAATGGAGCAGGTTGTGTGTGCGTGCGCGCGAGGGGATGCAAAGCGCTATATGGAGGGATTTATTCCCAAGAGTCGTCCACTCCAAACCAGGTGGCGGAAAATCTAGGATTTTGAGACGGCAAAAGGCTGTGCCTCTTGTAGGTTTCTGGGAAAAGTCATCCAGAAAGCGTCATCTCGTCAGGAGAGTTCCCTTGGTTTGTTACCTAGCGGCTTCACCTGTATGACAAGCGTGTCGTAGTGCCAGACACCATGAGAGCTGTTGAATTCCTAGTAAAACTTCCCTTTGCTACGCAGTAGAAGTACAGAGATCCACAGTGGAGAAGAGCTTCAAGTCCCCCGGATCGTCCACCCCTTTCTCATTAACCGACACTGAAGTCTCACTGATTCACTCTGAGTCATTTGTAGGAGAAAGAATTAAAAAAACATTTATTTACTTATAGTTGCTTGAAATTACAGACTTCTGTAGGCTGCTTTCTTTACTGCACACACACACACAGTAACCAACAACCAGTTCAACAGCAAACAAACATCTGACACCAACAGACTAAGGAGGGAAAAAAAGAAAGCTCAGCAGAAAGGTGGGGCTGTCTTTGAATTCAAAGTCTGGGAGGAACAATTGGTTAGTACTGGATGCACAGACATTCACCCCCAGCCAGGAAAGTCCCTTCCAGTCAAATAAACTACTGTTCCGGCAGTATGTGAGGTGGTAAGTAAATCTCCAAACACAGCTACCTTCAAATATTTGCAGGGTTGCCATGTGGAAGACAGATAATGTTGGTTTTCTGTAACTCCAGAGAGTAGAACCTGAAGAAATGGATTCAAATACAACAAAACATTGTTGTTGTTTAGTCATTAAGTCCTGTCCAACTCATCGTGACCCCATGGACCAAAGCATGGCAGGCCCTCCTGTCTTCCACTGCCTCCCAGAGTTGGGTCAAATTCATGTTGGCAGCTTCGGTGACCCTGTCCATCCATCTCATCCTCTGTCATTCCCTTCTCCTCTTGCCTTCACACTTTCCTAACATCAGGGTCTTTTCCAAGGAGTCTTCTCTTCTCATGAGATGGCCATGAGTATTAGAGCCGCAGCTTCAGGATCTGTCCTTCTAGTGAGCACTCAGGGTTGATTTCCTTCAGAATGGATAGGTTTGTTCTCCTTGCAGTCCAGGGGACTCTCAAGAGTCTCCTCCAGCACCACAATTCAAAAGCATCAATTCTTCGGCGGTCAGCTTTCTTTATGGTCCAGCTCTCACTTCCATACATCACTACAGGAAAAACCATTCTTCTGCCAGATGGTAACAGTTCAAAAAAGTTATAAGCAGGATGGGAAGAGTCTCTCAGGATGCTATGTGATTTCCTTAGACATATGTCTCTGCTTTTTAAGATGCTATCTAGGTTTGTCATCGCTCTCCTCCCAAGAAGCAGGTGTGTTTTAATTTAGTGGCTGCTGTCTCCATCTGCAGTGATCAGAGAGGCCAAGAAAGTAAAATATCTCACCGCCTTCATATCTTCCCCTTCTATTTGTCAGGAGGTGATGGGACCAGTGGCCATGATCTTAGTTTGTTTTATGTTGAGCTTCAGACCATTTTTGCACTCTCCTCTTTCACCCTCATTATGAGGTTCTTTAATTCCTCCTCACCTAAGGCTGGCCTTTCCATCAAGCCAGAGAGCAGAAGTAACTCGTTACAATGAACGCCATCAGTGGCACTGAACAAGGGAAGAAACCGTTACAGTTACTTTTAAGTGCGTCAAATGACAAGTTCCACTGTGGAACTACTTTCCGATCTCCACTTTTCCAGGGCCTGTTACCGCGTTTTTAAGAAGTATTTCTCCACCCATCTCGCGTTCTCCCGTGGTCTCTCAAGACAAGGGAAGAGCATATTTGTTTTATTTTTTATCTGTTCTGTTTTTGAAAATATTTGTGCAGGCCAGCCTCGGATGCGGCCCAAAGGAGAAGCGACAACGGGGCAATAACGCGTTACGCCACAAACCGCTCGCGCAGCGGGAGCGACGGAAGGGAAGCGAGCCACCCCGTAGCGAGTAACGAGAAACGCGCCGCGTTCCTTTTAAAACGCCGCCACCGTTCCAAGCGCTGAGGCCCCGTCCTCCGGCTGGCTGGCTGGGGGGGGGGGCAGGGGACACCCTCCCTCCCCAGGGGCTGCCGGGCGCGGGCGGGCGGGCGCAGAGCTTGAGTCGTGGGGGGGACCCCCGGGAAGGCCCTTGCCTTGGACCTCAGGCGGCCCAACGCCCGGGGTCGGCCCTCCTGTAGACCTGACCGCCTGGGACGTCCCCGAGCCGAGCCGGCGGAGGGCGGAAAAACTCCCTTCTTTTTTGGGAGGGGGGAATCTCAGCCCCCAAAGTCCTCTTGTAGTTTCCAAACTCGGGCGCTCGGCCAGAGGCGAGCGGGTCTCTCTCTCCTCCGAGTTTCGCTTTCCGTTTCCCGAGGCTCCCTCTCCGGAAACGAAACCAATCATCATCCTACCTCGGAGCTCTTGCTGCTGCTGCTGCCGCTGCTGCCCCAAAAGAGCATCTCTCCTCCGGAGCGCATCCCCGCCATCCCCGGGCAAGAAGGCGCACCGAGAAGCTTCGGAGGGAAGCGGAGCAAAATGAGGTGAGCCGGAGTCACTCCGGTTTCGGAGGATTTCTGTCCACGGTCGTGTCTTTTTTGGGGGGAGGGAGAGAACCGGGGGGGGTCCGAGAAGCAGCCCTGTGCGATGCCAAGCCCGGAGGAGGGGGCCTTCAGGTGGAAGACAGGTGAGTATTGAGCCCGGAGGGGGCTGTCATTCCAGGACATCCAGGGTCTCAAAGTGGCTTCTTGGGTGCAAAAGCGGTTCCCCCTTGGAAGGGGAGGGAGGATGGACAGTGGGGCAGGCAGGCAGGGAGGGCACACCGGCCCTGGACCGTGGCGTCGGAAGAGGTCCCCGGGAGGCCATCCAGCCCTGCCCATGGAGGGCAGAGATGCCCTCTGCTCAGTGCCAGGATCCGACGCGTAGGAGCCCTGCCAGAGAAATGCATCGGCACCTGCTGGGTTCCAGCGGATCATTGCATATGGGGCAGAGTGAGGAGGGAGGGAGGGAGGGAGGGGGGAAAGTCTGGCAGATGTGTGTGCAATATTAGGGATCGGAATCCACTTCCGCAGACTGGCATCCTCAGAGGAGAGCCGAGCGGATAAATAAAGGCGTTAACCCCCAAGAGTCTTGCCACCAAGGAGACCCCGGTGCCTGACGTGACCTGGGTCTCTAGGACGGCGGCTGGTTCAGTCCATGCCATGTCCCAGGAAAATGGCCCCGCAGAGTAGTGCAGAGTTTGGCGTTTTTGGTTAAATTCCCTTTTTCTCTTCTTCTTTGGCTAAGCAGTAGAAATAGAGAGGAGCATAGCTACAAGTTCTCCAGATAGTCCACCCCTTTCTCATTAACTGGCGCTTAAAGTCTCAATAACGCTGAGACATTTGTAGAAGAAAGGAAGGGGGAGAATCTCTACTTGAAATTACGGACTCGAGTAAAGCTGCTTTCTTTACTGCAAACATGCTTAGCCACCAACCGAACAGATCAACAACAGACAAGCAACTGCCACGAATCCAGGAGAGAGAAAGAAAAGCGCTCAGCAAAGAGGCGGGGGCTCTCTGAATTTCAGAAGCTGAAAGGAAGGATTGATTAATGCTGGATAGAGAGACCATCTCCCCCCCCCCCTGCAGTCCCAGGCCAGAAAAATCCCTCCCAGTCCCAAGACAGCGCATAAGGTTGCCCATCACGCTCTTAAGAGGGAGCTGCTGGGAGAAGGGCTCTGGCTTGCCTGCCTCCTCGGAGAGCCCTCTCCCCGGGTGGGCGTCAGGTTCGTCTGATCCCTCTTGAGGAGGCCCCTTCCTCTCTTAGCAGGCTCACCCTTTCTCTTCCTTCCCTCACAGCCGACCCCTCTGGGAGAAGCTCCAGAGCCTCCAGTGCCATTTCACCTGGGACTTCGAGATCAAGGATAAGGTGGACGTAATGCACATCCTGACGACGCTGGCTCTGCGCATCAAGCACACCGGGTACCGTAACCGGGGCATCTACCTCGCCATGCGGGCATACCTGCAACACCTGGAAGGGCAGGACAAGGAGGCTCTGGGGACCCTCCGAGACGCAGAAGAGGCCCTGAAGGAAGAGCACCCCTCCGACTTCTCCCGCCAGGTCCTGGTGACTTACGGGAACTACGCCTGGGTTTATTACCACTTGAGCAATTACGAGATGGTGGAGCGCTACCTGGGCCAGATCCGTGAGATCTGCCAGTCCCTGGCCAGCCCGCAGCCTTACTTGGCGGCGATCCCCGAAGTGGA